CACCCACCAAGTCACACCATACCCACCAAGCCACACCCACCAAGTCATACCATACCCACCAAGCCACACCACACCCACCAAGCCACACCTACCAACCCACGCCCACAGAACCGGTAGTAAAAAAAAATTGAATCCCACCACTGGCTCAAATGATACCATCACAAAGGTCTTGATAACACTTTTTTTTTCCCCAAAAGAAGGCCTACCACTGATTCTCTCATCTTCTCAGGAAGTGGATCAACTCGTGGCTCTTCAAAATGTTGCTTTACAAGGTGTGGAAAATATTTACAGTGAATAAGAGACCTAATTTACAGAACAAATGAAAAACAGTTAGAACACCAATCTCCTGAAAAGGAAACAATCCTAGACAATAGACAATAATTTTTTCACCTAGCTCATTTAAGTAAAAAATTACCAACTCGAGATGGGTACCTTTTGGATCTGGAAGTGAAAGAACAGGCTCTGATTCCACCCCTCTAACTACAAGTGGCTGTAAGTTCATAGGTTTCCACCCCCATATTTGGAAAGCTTTCATCATTAATTTTTGGATGAAGTGGAAGCAGTTTGCTCCGTCCCATATTTGGGTAGACCAGGTTGCCCTGATAGACCGGTGTCACAGAAAAATCCTTTTGGATGGGGTATTGTTTTTCTGGACCGACTTGGCACACAGTCTGGGGAACCTCTTGGGCACAAGAAGAACATTCAGAAACTCCAGCTGATCCAGAATGTAACCGTATGAACAGTTTTGGATGCACAATGGTACATTCATGTAACATCACTGCTTCATAAGCAATGTATACCACAGTAAGCAATGGCTTCCAGTAGGTTTCTGGCTGCAATTCAAAGTCCTGGATATCATCAATAAAGCAGTACATATCATGGAGCCAGGATACTTGAGAGAACACCAGTCTCTGGTAGTTTCTGGTGACCCCATTATATTCATAGGTTAGGCATACCAGTCACTCTCTCTCTCTCTCTCAGCCTAGCTCAAAGTTGTTGTGGGAAAAATAGGAGGAGGAAGGTATGTTCTTCACATTAAGTTATTTGTAAAAAAAAAAAACAAAGGCAGGATACAAATACATTAAAATATATACTATCTTTTATATGTATGTTTCCTGTCCTATGTATGTTTCCTTTATATGGATGTTCTCTTTTTATGTTTATTACCTGCTCCAAGTCATTTGATTAAGATGGGCAACCAAATACATTTGTATAATAAATCGAACTACCTTATTACATCGTTCTATAGTTTAAGCCATACAAAAGCATCAGTGATAACTTACACTAAGACGGATGGATCACTGCTCTGCCTGCTCAAATGATAAGAAAGTGCCACTAAAAGCCCACAAAAGGCAGAGAACAGTGCGGGAATGTGTTCAGCATCCCATGGTTCCTATAGATAAAGAGGAGACAGAGATGGAAGGAATATGGATGTCTTTACATAGTTTGCAAGTTTACTAGTTTCTGCGGAAATAAGTTAAATATCGTTAACACGCTGGAATTCACAATAATTAAATGGCTGCGTCATATATTAAATGAACTATATTACGTTTCATCAGGCTAATGAAGTTATGATATTTCAAACAAGGTATCTAATTATGCAAACCACAATACCCCTAAAATGGGCAATTAAGTAAAAGAAGCAAGGAAAATCACTAGAGGCTGTTTTTTTTTCCTCCTACATACATTTTTAAATTACATAAACTATGTTTAAATAAATAAATAAATTGAAATGGCATTAATTTTTAAATTACATAAATATAATTTTAAATGAAAAGGCACTTTTCCTTGCTCTTCAAAAAAACATAGTTACGAATTTGAAAGTGCAAAATAAAAATGAACAGGTTGAATTTAAGGCAGAACTTGCAAGATGTTCTAGAACAGAATTGTATGGAAATTGTGATGAGAAAAATAGCAAAAATAACAATCCTCTCTCCTTTCTTCTTTCAACAACTCATCACCTATTATTTCAGAAAGTTGAGCATCAACCAATATCTCATTAGTCAATTAATGAGCAATATAAAAGTAAGTTCTCTCCAAACTTCCTCTTTCTGATTTAAAAACACAACATATTCCTGGCCAGCATTTCAGCTTGATTTACTTGGCCAGCTTTAAAACTATTCGGTTTTTACATTTCACAGGGAGCTGGATTTTGAATAGAAAATGTTATCATTCTGTCTTCCATAGTTATCATACTTTTTTTTTTGACATTTTCATTTTTCAATGACATCTGCATTCGATTTTAGCAAGAATAGACAATGTACTGCCTCAGGATGTCCTCGCCCGCTAAAAATTTTTTTAAATTTTGAAGCACTGTGACTACTCAACAAAATCCAACAGCATAATTGTTAAAATCCAACAGAGTAATTTAATTCCATTCCAGAGGAGAAAAACATACAATTTTTGTATAAGTATTAAAAGTAGGATTGTTATGGTTGAAGAAAAATGAAAGTTCCACAGCCCCCCAAAAACAAGAAATACTGGTATAATGTTAGATTTCCTATTTTGTAGAAGGTAACCATGCTTCATGAAGAACCCATAGCTGCTGAGTTTGCCCATCACATTAATTCATAAGCCATGACTTATAAACCATAAGAGTTGAATTCACATACTAACCCAATATATTAGTCTATATTAGTGTTTTTCAACCTTAGCAACTTTAAGACTAGTGGACTTCAAGTCCCAGAATTCCACAGAATTGCTGGCTGAAGAACTCTGGGAATTGAAATCCAGAGATATTAAAGTTGGCCATGGTTCAGAAACACTGGTCTTGAATGTGAATACATCCCTGGAAAGAAAAAAACATTTGAGTTCTTGTGTCTGGAAGGGATACAGGCAGCTTTAGCACTGTCTGAAACTGACGATGAATCAGTTAATGGCAAGTAAATCCTGAATTGCAATCCATCCACCCATTCAATATTTAAAGTCATGCTTTTAAAAATCAGGCAGACGTCTTGTATAAAGAAGTATGTAAACGCCAACATTAGAGGACACTGGGATCACAATATGAAATACATAGTACCATTTTGGAACAAATAATTATTCTGCTTACAAATATCTTCAAAAATGAAAAAAGCAATAAAAATTCAAATTATATGTAATTTTCCTGAGTAAATGGAAGGTCTGCAGTTGATGTATGTAATTTGCAGCAAATATCTTGTAAATCTTTTACCGCGTTCTCTAACTTCAGGGTAGCAGCATTATAAGCATATTTCAAAGCTCTAGGAAGCTCAGGCTGTGGGCAAGATTGCTTATCTGCAAAACCACCTGCCTGCTGTAATTTAGCTTATTAACCTGCAGAAAGATGTGCAAATGACAGGACATGTTTAAAAGGATTGCCCTTAATACTATTTACCAAAGAGACTTTGAACGTTCAATTAACCCACAGAGAACACCAACTATATAAATGAGTTTCCATTAAATTCACATTCTCCCATCAGTAATCTCATTAAAAAAAAAATTCAGCTTTTCCCTCATTTCATTTTCCTTCCCCCTAATTTAACAAGAAACCAAAGCCTAGCTTATACACAGCAAAAGGGGCAATCTGTATGGCTCCCACACGGATGATGTTTAAGATGATGATAATATTTATTTCAGTACCCCCATTAGATTGGGAAGAGAAGGCATGCTGTGGATACCGTCAGCTAGGGATCTACATTTGGTGGGTCCCAGAATATGTGTCTTCTCTGCTGTGGTGCCCACCTTACAGAACATTTCCCGCCCCCCCTCCCCATCCAATTACATTATCTCCATCACTTTTGACATTCTGGAAGGCTCTCAAGAACTGGCTATGTCATCAGGACTGGGGTTCCCAGGGAACCAGAGATATGAACAGATAGCTCCATTGTTGAGCTATCCACTCTTCACTTGGGGCTTTGTATTTTTGGGTTTTTTTTAAATACTATCTACTACTTAAGGTAGATTTTTACATTTGCATATTTGCCATTTTTAATATTTGTGGTTTTCATCCAAGGTTGTGCACCACCCAGAGTAAATTTTGGTGACATGGGCAGCTACACGAACTTGATTAATAAATAAAATAAAGAACATTTGAAAACTTAGCTTTTCCTCCCATGCTTTGGATTACACCTCTTATGAGATTTTATCAGTCTGACGGATTGCTTTATTTGGATTTATATACTTCTTTTCTTGTTTTTAATCATTACAGCATTAATATGTACTTCACCAAAAATCTTATGCAGTTGGATGACCATTCACTCATCCATCCACCCATTCATCATATGGTGAACAAAAAAATATATATCTGAATAAGAATAGAGTTGGAAGGACCTTGGAGGTCTTCTAGTCTAGCCCCTTGCTCAAGCAGGAGATCCTATACCAGGGGTAGGATTCTACCAATTCGCACCTATTTGCTCGAACCGGCTGTTAACATTCTAAGCAGTTCGGAGAACCGGTTGTTGGAAGAAATTACTGGCCTAATCCTGTAAGGAAGGCAGGAAGGAAACATTCTGGTGTTGCTTACAGAAACTGCCTCTCCATTAACCCTTATTACATTCTTGGCAGGACTAGACTTCCTGTCTCAGGAACATCTCTGGAGTTTTTTTCCCCTCCTTTGCTGGTATTTTGCTTGTGTGGAGTGACCATTCAAAGTTACAATGGCACTGAAAAAAGTGACATGACCATTTTTCACACTTACTACTGTTGCAGCTTCCCCACAGTCATGAGAGGCCAGGCGAGGAGATGCGTGCCTTGATGTGAGTGATGTTGAGTTGGCCACACCCAGCCAGTCACATGACCACCAAGCCATGTCCACCACCTAAGCCACGCCCACAGAACCGGTTGTTAAAAAATTTGAATCCTATACTATTTCAGACAAGTGACTGTCCAGTCTTTTCTTTAAAACCTCCAGTGATGGAGCGCCCACGATTTCTGGAGGCAAGCTGTTCCACTGGTTAACTGTCCTCACTGTGAGGAAGTTTCTCCTTAATTCCAGGTTGCTTCTCTCTTTGATTAGTTTCCAACTGTTATTTCTTGTCCTGCCCCCTAGTGCTTTGGAGAATAATTTGAGTCCCTCTCCATTCAGAGTCCTAGTGGACAACCATTTAAATATGAGCCAGCAGTGTGCAGCAGCTGCCAAAAAAGCCAACATCTTTTAAAAAGATGTTGGATAACCATTTGTCTGAAGTGGTGTAGGGTTTCCTGACTAGGCAAGGGATTGGACTAGAAGACCTCCAAGGTCCCTTCCAATTCTGTTATTCTATTCCATTCTTTGTGGCTGTCCCTCAAATACTGGAATGCTGCTATCATGTCACCCCTAATTCTTTTTTTCCTTAGACTAGCCAGACCCAAAACCTGCAGCCGTTCTTCATATGGTTTTAGTCTCTAGGCTTTTGCCCATCTTAGTAGCTCTTCTCTGAACTTTTTCCAAAGTCTCAACATATATTTCTTACAATTAATGTATTTCTTATTTGCAGCTAAAATTATGCATAAAACATGATGTTTACAACAAACGCTGCTATCTGCTTCCTCCCCATTCTCCAGGGCAGACCTTCCCTTTATAAGGATGGAAAAATAATGCAAATTAGATTTACATTCATATAGCTCCTAGATGTGGAAAAAAAGAAAACAATATCATAGTCACGAGAAATTCTAGCCCGTTTTGCTATCAGGATCACTCCTCCTTACCTTAACTGCATTGAAGCAGAATGTGTACAGGATAATTACAGCAATAAAGCTTCGAGAAATACTGTAGAGTGAAGAGTACATTCCCACAACAGCTGAAATACAGAAACCAACGTTCACCACTTTGCATCTGGTTATAACTACTGTAAGATAAATCAAAATGGTAAAAGCGTCCTATTATCAGAAAGGCCATTTTGCTCAGATGTGTTAAAATAAATTAGGTCATTCAATCAGATAAATTACTGGATGCAGAAATACAAGAACACCAGCCTCAAAACACAAGTTAAACAAGACCACAAATGCTACACTTGCGTTGAGACCCAGTAAAATAATACACAGCACCAGAGGAACTGGTTATCTTCAAGGAACTCTAGCTTGACAGCTGCCACGTGCTACAGAAAAATCAGCAAGCAGTAAACGTATCCACTTACTCAATGTAATTGAATGCCGAATGCAAGAATTTTGGGAAAATAAAGTTTACTAAAACAGAACATTTTATTCTAAACATTGGTGGCCTAAATTGCAGATGTTCTTGATTTGAAACTACATTTTGAACTTGTCTCGTGTATTTTGGGAAGTTCAAATTCCCACCAAGTGCCATGATGTTGGCCTCAACGTTTTGTAAAGGCCTCTCACTATTCGCGGGGCAAGCATCGCAACAGCCTGCAATTAATTACAGGCTACCATTGCAATGATCACAACCTAACAGTGGGAGAAAATGCAATTTCGTATTCTCCATTGATACAATGGGTAGGAAAAGTTAGTGACAAATGGAATAGAATAGAATACTTTTATTGGCCAAGTGTGATTGGACACGCAAGGAATTTGTCTTGGTGTAAATACTCTCAGTATACATAAAGAAAAGGTACATTCGTTAAGAATCAAGAATCACAACGTACGTGGCATCATGGTAGGCATTTGCAGGTGATTAGAAAGAGATGGAGTAATATGCATCACAATGTAAGCTCTATCCTTGAATACTTGAATATGACATTGCAATGCAAATATAAAGGGGTGGCATTTGCAGGTGTGATATCATCATGCAAGTTTTGGCATTTTTGGGCTGGGAGTAAGGGTTTGCTACTGGAAGTTAGCCCTCATATCTCAGTTACCCAATTGCTGCACTTCTTTATGTTCCAAGGAGCTTAAGGCCACTAGTAACTATTACCTATCTTATGTTTTCCATCATTAGAAAGCAGTCTAGCTGCCAGCCCCAGCACTGCTGGGCAATTCAGTTTTCCTTGTTTTAAATTCTAATTCTGTGTATATGTTTTGAAAAGTTAATGCACATTTTGGAAGAACAATGAACCCTCACGCATTCTGAGGCTGCCAAAGCACAACTCTTAGGTCATGCAGCTTCCTAAGACAGCAAAAGGTCCTGGGCTGAGATAACCATCATTATGGTCCAAAATCCCTAATGCTAGAATAAAAAAGGGATTTAAATGCATAGAGTCCCAAGAAATAGCAGCCTGTCACCTAAAGTGAACAAATGCAAAAGATAAGGCCACTGTCATGCTTTGAATAAGTATGTGGACAAGACAAAATTTAGCAGAGGCAGATTATCAGTCTGAAATGAACAGGAATTGCAACTATAAACACTCTCACCTAAATTCAGCCAATTCTGGATATTACATATAACCATATATAGTACTTACCAGAACCACCAAATGCCAGTATATCTATCTGTTCAAGGATATATATACAGAATGTGTTGATTTGTGGGAAAAGACCAAGAAGAGAAATCACAGGAAAGCAGTATAAAAATCCTGAAATTAGAAATGGAAAGAGAAGAGGCAGAAATAGGGAGGGAGAGAAAGGGAGAAAAAAGAGATTTGGTTGAATCCAAAGAATTTATACAAGAAGAATGCTTTATATATTTATATTGGTAACTGGTGTCCCTTAACAGATAACAGATAATCAGAGTTGGAAGGGACCTTGTAGGTCATCTAGTCCAACCCCCCACCCAAGCGGGAGACCCTACACCATTTCTGATAGATGGCAGTCCAATCTCTTCTTGAAAGTCTCAAGTGATGGCGCTTCCACAACTTCTGAGGGCAAGGTGTTCCATTGGTTAATTGTTCTCACTGTCAGAAAATTTCTCCTTATTTCCAGGTTAAATCTCTCCTTGTTCAGTTTCCATCCATTATTCCTTGTCTGGCCTACAGGAGCTTTAGAAAATAGCTTGACCCCTTCCTCCCTGTGGCAGCCCCTCAAATATTGGAAGACCGCTATCATGCCTCCCCTGGTCCTTCTCTTTACTAGACTAGCCAAGCCCAGTTCCTGTAACCGTTCTTCATATATTTTAGTCTCCGGTCCCCGAATCATCCTGGCTGCTCCTCTGTACTTTTTCTAGTGTCTCAACATCTTTTTTGTAATGTGGTGAACAAAACTGGATGCAGTACTCTAGGTGTGGTCTTAGTAAGGCTTTATAGAGTGGTATTAGTACCTCACTTGATCTCGATTGTATCCCTCTGTTAATGCAACTTGCATTATTCTATTACACAGTTATATATTAATACGTGTATAATATATATTAATAATTGCTGAATATGCACTAAAAGGTGAAACATAGTGGTAACTAAAATTGCCAAGAGATGATCTGGTGGGAGAAAGATGGCTCCTCTCTCAGTCTCCTTCTTCTAAAAGAAAAAGCAATCAGAGAGCTATGTTGACAGGGCCATTGGGAATTTGTAGAAAATTGTGTTTCAAAGTTCTCCCAGATTGTTTGTTCCATTTCCTGGGCAAAACATAGTTCTGTTTCTGATAATCTGGCCTACAAACAACCATATGCTACAAGCTGGCATGGTGATATTTTTATTCCAATCTATTGTACCATACATTAGAAAGCAACATCCAGCTTATGACTCCTGCCGTAAGTTTTCAAAGTGTGTGTGTGTATTTTTGGGCTCTTATCTATCTAGCACATAGTTACAGTACTAAGATTGTTCCTTCCATGTTGAAGGGTGGCTTAGGATAGCACAAGTAACTTTTGAGAGGAAAAAGCCACACAAGCTGTTTTATTTTTGGAGAGATTCAACATTCTTGATATAAAACAGTACATATATTTCAAAGGAAAACAATGGAAGATTTTAAATATCTCAAAAGGAAGAATAAAGTAAAAATTTATTAGAGTAAAAATCAGCTTGAGTGACAAATCATGGCTATATGCAGGGATTCCATTCTACACCTTTCCTTCACAAACATCATTCATTATTCATTTTGTACCCAAAATCAATCTCTTTATGTAATGGGGAAAGAGATATCCTATTATGCAGATGGTGTGTTAAATATGAATCAGTTTCTCCACATGTGTAAAATATTCTGCATATTCTACGGTCATCTGCACAATGGATGGAATTTTATTCTGATGTAAAGTGGCAAACAGGGTTTTTATACATGAAGAGAAACAAACCACTCGTGGACACGTTTTGCCTGTTGCAGCCTAAGTCTACTAAAACAAAGTCTCTAAAATTGAGATGTTGCTGTTCTGCTAGCTTCAGGAATCTTTATTGGGCCACACCGCTATAGAAACTTTTTATCAGTGGTGGTTATTATACTCCTCTCCTTCCACACTGATCTTTTCCCAGGCCCTATTTAGGGAGAAAAACTAACATAAATAAGTGATACCCTTTCTGCTTCATTTTTCAATTGTGATATCAACACATTCCGCTCAAGAATGACCCAGAATCCTCTTAGAGTGCAGTTCTGGAGGGAAAGGACAGGCAGATGGGGCTCAGATAAAAAGAAAACAAGAACGTCAATATTGGACAGAAATTCATACTTATTGACTCAAGATCCTATGAAATATTTTTCATCAGGGATCCATCTACCCTAGTTTTATTCAGCAACAGCAGAAAGCTGTAAAATTGGATCCAGAGTTCAAGGACATAAGTTAGTCTTGGGTTACAATTCATTAATTTCAGAGGGAACAAAACTCCACTTGTGTGCTGTAGGTCCACCCTAATGTTTTCTGGTATTCAGTTCACATGAAGGGTAATTTCTTAGCAAGGAGTGGTATGCTGGGTAAATCAGCACGTTACCAGGCAACCATGGGAAATAACTCAAATACATCTGCTAGTGTCAAAAGCTCATTCCTCAGCAATCAGGGAATCATTAGGATGAGAAATTAATTTGACTTTAAAAAAAATGGAAAAAAGCTAATTTGACCTGAAAATAAAGAGCTGACCATTAACAAGGAAGAGGCTAGCGCCAGTCTTCTTAATTTGACACCCAGCCAAAATTTTGGAACTCCATACATGAAACAAATTCTCAGAGTTACAATCTCAATCTAACAGGAGAGTGTCAGAATATTAATCATAGCTAATAGCTAGACAGACAGACATTGATTCTGGTAACCACAGATAATAGTCATAAATTCAAAAATAGGTACATGCTTAAACAAAACATTAAAGAGGAAAAAAAAAGATGTCAAAAGAAATTCCTAGTAAGCAGTGGTGGGATTCAATTTTTTTTTTTACTACCAGTTCTGTGAGTGTGGCTTGGTGAGCGTGGCAGGGGAAGGATACTTTAAAAATCTCCAGTCAGAGGTGGGAGTTGCCGGTTCTCCAAACTACTCAAAATTTCCGCTATCGGTTCTCCAGAACTGGTCAGAACCTGCTGAATACCACCTCTGCTAATAAGGCCATGCCAAGGTTGCAGACATTTCACTTTCTCTCCCTCCCAAATTGTGCACCTGTGGAAAGAAAAGAGAGGAAGCAACATCTTCTCCAGGGACTTTAGGGATTAAATGTGTGGTACAGCTAAGATGTGTGAAGAGCACTGGTGGGATTCAAATATTGTTGCCACCGGCTTGGTGGACGTGGTTTGGTGGGCGCGTTTTGCGCGCATGCACACACTTTGCGCAGGGCAGAGGCATTTGTGCAGGCGCAGATGCATTCTACCTTGCCTCCTGCAAAGATCTCCCGTCACTTCAGCAGCTGCCGCACGGCGCTCTTCTGTATCGGGCAAAACAGCTGCGCTTCAAATTCAGCGGATAAAGGTGAGTAGGGAAGCCCAGGTGGACAGGTGGGCCCAACAGCAGTCAGCAGAGCAGCGGAGAAAACCGGTTCGGTCTCTGCTGCTCATCACTCTTACCGGCTCTCCAGAACCGGGCGGAACCGGTCGAATACCACCACTGGTGAAGAGGCAGCTTCATTTTTCTCCTCCCCGACAGTTGCAAAAACAAACATTGTGGAAAGTGCTTGAAGACAGCTGGTACACAGAAAATGTTATCATATTCCTTGCTGCTTCTTGTATTTTTGGGGGAAAAAATAATAATCCTTCATAATGCAAGGAGCATCCGTTTTCCTCACCCTTTCTTTGGACAGGTTTTTCTTCCCACCACTTGGCCTCAAATGAAAAACGATCCTCCATTGGTCCTTTCTAGGTGGGGACAGAAATTCCTATTCACATGACACACACACCAAGCAGTATTCTTACCCCAGAAATTCAATCTGATCTTACTATTTGAATGTATTAGCTATTTTGGGATCCTTGTCATGCTACAAGGAATAAATCACTGTCTTTCAGAATAAACTGAAGCAGTTGATAAAATGGAGAATTGGGAAATTAAAAGGAGGAATCTAACTTTGAAGCAAGTAAGAAATTTTAACTGCTTGAGACAGAACAACAAATAAATTGCTGACTCACCAAAAAAATAATAATAACCATAAAAGATCAGGCAAGCCACAAAAAATTCTGCTTCTGCTTGAACTCATTTCTCTAGAGCATAAAGGAGCTTTAATAGCAACAATTACACAATGCTTTTGTTTCAAATAACTTAATTGACTGTGGCAGTTTATTGCGTAGCTTAGAGAACCTGACAATCTCTTAATCTTGTTGCTCTTGATCTAATTGAGATAAAATATTACAAGCAGCTAGGATTGCAGCAGACTTGGCTTATGGGATAGAGAGGTTTGCACTGTGTTCAGATCTACCTTCCAAAGTGATGCAGAAACATAAACAGTTTTGCCAAACACACTTAATAGCCTGGCAACAAGGTTACTTTTTATATCCTGCAATTTGTGGGTTTATCCTTGGATATTGGTGTCAGGAAATTTTGTTCCTGACACCAATATCAGTCTAGTGAAGAGAAGGACCAGGGGAGACGTGATAACAGTCTTCCAATATTTGAGGGTCTGCCACAAGAGAGGAAGGGGTCAAGCTATTTTCTAAAGCGCCTGTAGGCCAGACAAGGAATCATGGATGGAAACTGAACAAGGAGACATTTAACCTGGAAATAAGGAGAAATTTTCTGACAGTGAGAACAATCAACCAATGGAACAGCTTGCCCTCAGAAGTTGTGGGAGCTTCATCACTGGAAGCTTTCAAGAAGAGACTGAACTCCCATCTGTCAGAAATGGTGTAGGGTCTCCCACTTGGGTGGGGGGGTTGGACTACATGACCTACAAGGTCCCTTCCAACTCTGATGATCTGTTTATCTGTTATCTGTGATGCAGAAATGACTGTTAATTATCTTAAATAACAGATTTCACATAGCTACTCCAGAAACATCATAATCATCCACTAAGAAATCATTAGTTTGGAGGGCTGGTAAACCTATTATTACAACATTTTTTCCTATTTTCTCCCCCCAAAAATTTGTATTTGTATTTGTAGTTGAAAGAGAAGAATATTTGGGAAACTGTATTTTTGCACAAGTAACTCACCTATTACATAGTCCCTGATTACCTGAAATGTTTCAGGTGATATCTTCAGGTCATAAACAGTATACATGAAGGAATTTCTGGTTTTAGATCCTGCATCTAGTAATAGAATAAGGCCACACAATATGCTAAAATATATAGGCCTGCTGTATATTATCACCTGGTTGTGGCCCTAGAAAAGCAAGTTAATAGAAAAAGATATTTAATATCAACCTAAAATTATTTTAAATGCATAACTAACTCTGTACAAACTCAATAAGTTTCAATGTTTACATATATATTGCATACCCCACAAAATAGATGTTAGAATCTCATTTCATCTGAAAATCCAAATAAGCCCTCTACATCAAGATTTCGATAGCCATCTATACAATGCAGGTTACAATAGAACACTTAACCTACACTCTGATCAGAATTCACTGGTAAGTTTTAATCTTCTTTATTGGATTTGTAAGATTGTTTAATCATCAAATGATTCAAGACATTGTACAGAAGTAGAAGAATCAAATAGCAAGCAACCAAAATACAAACGTTAAAATAATCATTTATTAGTGGGTTCATAAAACCCCATGACCCAAGGTCTGCTAAATAAGATAGATCTTAACTGCTGAGAATCACAAATGTAGTGATCGAAAATAAAATCATCTCAATGCATCTGTACTTCCTCAAACTCTGGAGATTCTTATGACATTATTCTTAGCAGCTCTTTTTAAATAGCCTTGCAATATCAGAAAATGTTGGCTGCTTGAGGGAAGTGGTGGAAATGATGTAATTACCGGAAAGTTCAAAAGGCCAATAAGGAAAAACTACTATGGTGTGAATTTTCTCCTGGGTCTGACACTATGAAATCTATTTGTATTATGAAATAGCTGCTCTGTTTTCCAACATTCAGGAGATCTGCCTGTATTTAAAGTTAAGCTTTGAAAGCCATATTAGCACCAGAAGCTTCCAGGCTGCCACATTCTTGAGCCTGGGAAAATGGGAGGGGGGAATTTTGTGGAGCGTAGGTGGTTAGACATAATAGCATTCTTCTTTAAAGTCAAGGTCATGTTATTCCTGCACCTGGCTGAGGAGTGGTTGAGGGGATATCTCAAGTTGGGACGGATGGCGATTGGGGCATGTGATGGAATGACTGGTGAAGGGGGTGGATTTGTAATTTTTTACTTTTTGGATGGAAACCCGGAACTTTCAGATTCAAGATTTCCCAGATGTGCCACTTTACTACTCTAATAAAAGGAGACTTTGAGAACATGTCTATCTCAGAGTTATTTATTGGACTTGAGGTTTTCTGGAACAATGACATTAAAATTGTATGGCTCTCACATGATAAACACAAACAAAACAAATTAAATATAGTTCTTCTATTACCTGAAAGCCTTCCTAACTAGACTTTAATGCTTAAGGCCATAAAGATGAAGAAAATCATTTCCTTGCAATTGTGTTTCCTTGTATTCGTGTCAGGTTACCCTTGTCAAAATTCCCTGACCAAGATACATTTGTGAATTATAGGTCTGTTAACTCTGCATGGCTTAATTAGTTCCTGAGTTCAGCTCAACAGAAGATTCACAAATATGTTTTGGCTAGATTAGAATTTTTACTGTTGACAAGAATGAAATCATACACCACAGTTGCTACCAGTGAAAAGATTTAAATACCTTTTATACCCCACTAGGGGTTTAAAATTTAGGCTTCTTTCTTCTGTCCTAGTTTAATGGATTTTTGGCATGATGCTTAGCAGCTGTGAACTTCAGAGAATATTAGATGTTTACACAACAGCTTTAACCTTCACACTGATAGTTCTAATGAAATTCTGTGAAATATGGAATTCAGTGAAACACTTACCATGCCTACTTTAATAAAAATGTAAAATAAAATAGATTACCTATGTACATATAAATTGACCTGCCACTAACCATTCTGATGCTTTTAGTCTTTTTCCCACAAATCCAGGGCAAGACTGATGTTAACTATCTACAAAGTATTCATTGCCTTTGCCAAACATATTTTAGTCTAGAAATGAAGAAGTAGAGTGAAGTACAAATTAAATTTTAGAGAGCAACCTTTCAAATTGGGCATGATAGTCCAATCCAGTGGTGGGATTCAACTTTTTTTTTTAAACCACCTGTTCTGTGGGCGTGGCTTCGTGTGCACTCACATGCTTCATGCATGCCTGCACCAAACGTGTGCTTCACACGCGCGCAGAGGGTTTGATACTGACCTTCTCCTGCAATCCTGCACTCTCCCTGTGTGTTCAACAGCTGACTCATGGCAATCCGCTGTGCCATGCAAAGCAGCTGAGCTTCAAAACCAGGAAATAAAGGTCAGAAAGAGCTGGGGCGGGCCCAGCAGCTGATTGTCGGAGCGAACCGGCTTGCTCACAGATGATCCTCGGAGCTACCGGTTCGAGCAAACCGGGCCGAACCGGTAGAATACCACCCCTGGTCCAATCCTTTCAGATTTCAAATGACTAGTAAAACCCATTTCCCCTTATAAAATATTTGGGGGAAGGCTGATCTTGGTAACCGAGATCCCTCCTTAGCTGGTTCAAACTTGGCTGAAATTTGGCATGGTACGGCATGTCTACTATGAGATCTTCACAGTACCCCAGGACTGGAATTATTTTAAATCATTTATTGCCTTCTAACAATTAAGAGTATTGCCCATATACTAAAGCCTTTGAGGCTTAAACTCAGTGCCTTTTTCTCTGCCTTTCCCATAGTTTAACAGTAATTCTGCTTTATAATTCTTGTGTTCTGTGAGCTAGATGGTAATTGGGTTTTGACATTTTTAATATTCCTGTCCTGGGAAATTATAGCTCTCAATATATCTTCAATTGAAATCTATTTCTGCTTATAGGTTGCCATTGTTCATTATGGAACTGATCCAATTTTAAAAGTATTGTGCTTTTGTTGAAGCAAACTAGCCTAAGAACAGACTGTGAGCTGAAATGCAAGTTGTAAGTAATAAATTATCGAGAAACCTAAAATAATCAGAAATAGAAGAACAATGCAAATGTTTTTGCATCAAAAATAAAACAGCAAAATTCATGCTAAGGCATAAATTATATCATAACTGTTGGGACTATGAAGCCTCACTACAACAGAAGCCTAAACCTGTGTCTTTCTGTGGATTCAAATTTTGCAGTATTGCTAATTAATACAATACTGCATTATGTTTTCGGTAAAGGATGAGAAAAGACATAATTCAATAGACAGGCATATGCAGATTGAGTCCTCCAGCACTCTGCAGTCTGATTCAATATAAAACAAATTTATACTTTAATAATCACATAATGTATCTATAAAACTAAGGATTCAGAGAGATGTATTCCAGTATCTCTGTATTTTGGGAGACATGAGATTGTGGCACTATAAGAAACATGACCAATTAAAATATCATTATATCATTAATGTCTGAAAGATGAGATTGGGAAAAGTAATTAAAATGCAGCTAAGATTTAAACCTACAGTCCTGTAACAATTTCTGTATTAAATATAAAATTGATTAGGCTGGGGAGGTTGTTTTAAGATTACATACATGTATATAGAATAGAACATAATTCTTTATTGGCCAAGTATGATTGAACACACAAGGGATTTATCTCCAGTGCATAAGCTCTCAGTTTACATCCAAGCAACAAGTGATAAATTATGATCATAATCATAAAATATAGATACAACAATCAGTGATAGTCATAAGATACTAAACAAAAGCAATCAACATAAATCATAAAATACAAACAACAAAATGATAGTCATAAGATGCTGAAGGACTAGTTAATAGGAAAGATGAGAAGGATAATAGTAATGATATAGCCCTGCCGCATGGTTTGATATCCTAGGGCAGGGGTCTTCAAACTTGACAGCTTTAAGACTTGTGGACTTCAACTCCCAGAATTCCTCCTCCAGTCATGTTAACACAGGAATTCTGAGAGTTGAAATCCACAAGTCTTAAAGTTGTCAAGTTTGAAGACCCTTGTCTTAGGGCATAAGACAGTGTTGTGGAAATTAGTTGTTTAACAGAGTGATGGCATGGGGGAAAATTGTCTAATTGTTTTGGTGTGCAATAATATATAAAGTTTATATATACATTGGTACATATTTTAAATTATATTACATATAATTTATGTAATCGTATAAGCCATATATATGTATAAATTAGAAAAATCAACCAACTTAATAGAATAAATATGTAAATTAAAGGCCAGTAACACCACATAATTATTTTTTACCACAGTACATTAACAGTGCAGTGCAAAAATGACCTTTTACATTTCTAGAAACCTGCATAATTGGCAGCAAAAGAGTGTGTGGTAATGTGTGATGTATGTGGTAATGATCTGAGAAAGTAACTGAAGCCACTATGCCAAAGACCTGGCTGCCTTGTTGTTTCACTCACACCAACAGGCTGTGGAAGGAGAGCACTTATTAAAATGCTATGCACAGCTCTGCTGTTTACTCTGTGGCAGCAATGTGCTTGAGCAGATAAATTTTTAATGATAAAGTATTAGGTTCCAAGATGGAAAAGTGAATAACATCCTGGAGAAATGAATTTATTTCGACTTTCAACAATTCACCACACCAACTGACCAAGGAACACAAATAATAAAAGCATATATGTGGTAACTGAAACTTACATGTATAGGTGAGGCAGGATCAGGCTGAACACTCTGAAGACAAAGCAAAATTCATCGTGTTAGCTATTGGATTTTACCACAAAATCCCAAATAGAAATAAGGGGTTTCTCATCTATCTATCTGACTGTCTTTCTGTCTCTCTAATGTACAGCTTCCTGTGACAATACATCTCTAAGTAGTTGAAGTAAAACCAAAAAATAAAATACATGATAAAAACAATACATTTAGACAATGTAAAACACATGTATAAAAGAATACATTACCTTTAGAAGAGAGTACTGACAGCTTGCCATGATAAGACAGAACAGGAGCACCCAAATGTCTTTACAAAAACCTTGGTTCATGATTAGAAAGCCAAGAAAAGAAACAAGGATTACTAGAAGAACTGCCAAAGCATTCTCCTTGACATCTTCTGTCCTGTAAAAATAACACATTGATATATTTTCAAAAGCAGAATATAATAATAAATGTGCCATTATAATCTACCATATAGACTTATAAATTGAAGCTGGATCAATTTGTCATAAATGTACTTCACTTTTTCAAGATGTCCCTATGAAGGCCCCATGGTCCCATGGGGTCAACTTTACCTGGTGTGCATGGCATTCTCTGTACAGTCTTACTGGTAAGAAAAATATCTTCACACAAGCCAAAGATTGCCAAGTCAAAGCAACTAGCAGAAATTAATTGGCTTAATTATTTTCTTTGCAGAGATCAGAAAATTTATCTCTGAAAAAGACTACTTAATAAATGGACTTACTGACAATTTTTCTGTTATAAAACCAGTAAGTAAACTTAAATATTTAAAAAGTGCAATTTTGTAAAAATGATACAAAGGGGTCAACAGTGAAAACCAAAATTCTATCTATCATCCACAGTATCTATCTATCTATCTATCTATCTATCTATCTATCTATCTATCTAT